GGTGGAGATGCTGGGCTGCCCAGCAGCAGCGAAGAGAAGAGCATCCTCCCTGACCATCCAGGGGATTTTTCTCACACCTCAGTGTTCACTTGAAATTCTCCAGCTCTTTCCTTCTTGCACAGAAACTCTGCAGGGTCTCAATCTCATTTTGCCTCATTGCGTTACTTGTCCTGGCGATGGGTCTTCTCAGGCAGCTTGTGACAAAGTAATTGTGTTCTGCAGGGAAAAACTGGTCTTGACAGAGAAAGCTGCTCACTGATTTCTGCTGAAACTCTCCAAGCCTGACATCCCACTGGCTCAGAAAGGTCAGCAGTCAGAAGAACGAGAAAGATATAGGAAGCCCTGATCATCACAACTGCCTGGGAAGTTGGAGGGGGTAAGCTTCAAACAATGTTCGTCTGAAAAGCAATATCCTTGATAAATTATCAAAATTATACTGTACCCTGAACAATATGATCTAGCTTTATAACTAGATTCAATGTTGGGCCTTCTATGAGCTGGGAGTCATACCAGAGATGTTCTAAATAATGTTCATGATACCCTGGTTTCTTCTAAGTCAGTGTGAGCTCTGCTACCACTTCTAGTAGCGTCGTTTTCTGTCACTTCATTCCACAAGATTGTTTGACAAATTCAGACGTATAAAGGAAAATTACTTTGTAGCCAATGTGAGCAGAGTCCTTCTGAAGCACAAGTGCCTGGGTCAAGTAAGAAGGTTAAGAATTGTTTCAGTGGGCTGAAGCTCCCACTGTTTCAGGCACCTGATGTTATGTGTTGTTTCAGCTACAGATATACCACCACCTCATTCAATCCTGGAACCTGGCTTCCCTGTCCTGATGAACTCCGACAACCCTGGTGTTTGCAAGGCAGCTCGCTTTGGGGTTTACAGATACAACAACAGTTCCAATGACCTCTTTCTGTTTAAGGAATCGCAAATAAACAAAGCCATGGTACAGGTAAGAGGAGCCTAGACTTCTGGTGGTCCTCCAAACCACTTACCAATTGACTGTCCTACAGAGCCTTGATCCTTCTCAGAACAGCTATGCATGCCTAAACATAAACAGCACATGTCCCTCTATCCCATTCAACTTCTCCACAGGAGGTCTCCCCCCTCCCCCCCATCCTAGTAATTCAGTATAAAACACTTCTGTCGACACCACCACACACAATTCACAGATGTAACACTTGATTCCTAGCCAAAATTTTGGTATCCCTTTCCTGCCCTTACTTTAAAGGAGGAAACTACTTTCTCTAGATTGTCGGAGGGCTGAAGTACATGCTCCACGTGGAAATTGGATGCACCATGTGTGAGAAGAGGGAGCATCCCAGTCTGGACAGCTGTCACTTCCAAAGGAAAAAAAATCTGCAGCAGGTATATGTCCAATTCCTTTGGGTACCCAGTAACTACAGGTGATTCTTGGCCACCTCTAGCTGTGTAGTCACCTTCAGGCCAGCTCTGCCATGTCCCCATAGATGCACAAGCCTCCTCTGTGTAGAGCCAGCAGAGGTGAGGCAGGGTTATCAGTGTAAGCAGCGTAGTACCTCTCATGCATCCAGGGCCACCTCTCATCTGCGAGGAGTTGAACTAGACACAGCCATCTAGGCCATTACCCTGGATAACTGAGTGAAGTTGTGTAGAAATAGAGTACATGCTAAACAGACAGATTTCCTAGGTGGGGGAAATCTTTACAGGGGCTTTCCCACTGTTGTAGTTTAACCCCAGCCAGCAACTGAGCACCATGTAGACACTTGCTTACTCCCCTCCAGTGGGATGGGGGAGAGAATCAGAAAAGTGAGAAAACTCATGGGTTGAGACAAGTTTAATAGGGAAAGCAAAAGCTGCACGCGCAAGCAAAGCAAAACAAGGAATTAATTCAGCATTTTCCATGGGCAGGCAGGTGTTCAGCCATCTCCAGGAAAGCAGGGCTCCATCACGCGTAACAGTAACTTGGGAAGACAAACGCCATCACTCCAAACATCCCCCCCTTCCTCCTTCTTCCCCCAGCTCTATATGCTGAGCATGACGCCATATGGTATGGGATATCCCTTGGGTCATTGGGGTCAGCTGTCCTGGCCATGTCCCCTCCCAACTCCTTGTGCCCCCCCAGCCTCCTCGCTGGTGGGGTGGGGTGAGAGGCAGAAAAGGCCTTGGCTCTCTGTAAACCCTGCTCAGTAGGAACTAACACATCCCTCTGTTACCAATGCTGTTCTCAGCACAAATCCAAAACACAGCCCCATACCAGCTACTGTGAAGAAAATTAACTCCATCCCAGCCAAAACCAGCACACCCACTAAGATGATTACTTAGCAGACAGTACTTTTCCTAGGATAAAGGAGGCAGATAAGATACTCTTCTCTCCTGCCCCATCATAGCCCACAATGCTGAGACCAACCAGCAGCCACCTAAACTTTGTCACCAATTCTCCTTTTATTTGCAGATGCTGAGATGCTATTTTGAGGTCTGGATATGCCTTGGTTACATAAAGCACATGTCTCTGTTGCGCTCTGTCACTGACTCACCTTTCCCCATGAAAGCCTGACTTACAGGGGATCTACCACCATGAGTTTTTCCTTGCCTGGACTGTTGATGCTAAAACTGAAGTGGGGAACAGCTGTACAGAATCATCACAGAGCTTTTCTCTCAAAGCACATGGTTATTTTTCTCCCTGAGAAAGATGCTCAAAATCTGAGTGACAAAGAAAGGACCTGCCTTGACTGAATTTATTGCTCTCCAGTTGTGCATCTGTTTTTCCAAAACTAAACTGCAGATGAGAGCGTGTTTTCATTCGTTCTGTAGACAGCCATCCAGCCTCCAAGCAGTGTGAATACACCCAGGAAGCTCTGTTGGGACTTGCTTTATTCTGTGATAATCTTCAAGCAGCTATGACGTAAACAACCCTAAACCACATCACATGTGACTGCAACACTGAGGAAAGCTTTAGAACAATGGGATAGTTTGCCTGTGGGTACAGACACACACACACAAAAAAAGTCTTAAGAGTCTCCAGTGCTAGAGAAAAGGTTAGATATATCCATCAGGAATGCGTGAGGTAGAGTTGTTCTGTCTTCAAGACAAGAGTGTGGATGAGGCTGTCTTGAAACACACCCACAGCCCAGAAATGACTTAGTCTAACTAGTGCTTCTACTTTAATCAAAAGCTAATCTGTACTATGAAAGGGCATCTTTGAAAATGCTAAGATGAATAGTCATAGAATCATAGAATACCAGGTTGGAAGGGACCTCAGGGATCAAATGGTTTGACCTTTCTTGGCAAAAGCACCATCTAGACAAGATGGCCCAGTACCCTGAAACCTCATCATATTCCCAAAGCATATTTTTGCTGAAGTTAAACAATGTAGTTTCATTCAGGTTAATACAAGTATTCCATCTCCGGCTGACTGCAGTTTATATTCAAGTTCAGTAGAATGATGGTCTTCTCAAGATGGGCATCCACCATTCCTTCAGCTCTCGCTCTTCATGCATGGACAGATTATTGCTTGCTCTGGACTAAGGCCCTTATTTGGAAGGATTTGGGTAATTGCTCCCTTAAAACAGCAATAAAGTCTAGGCCAATGTTCAGTCATACACAGACCAGCACTTACAAATAGATAGGGCCCTCACCTAACCTATGAAAAACACTTTCCACAAACACTCCTTTCCTTCTGACAGTTGTTGCCTTTCTGCAGCTCTATTCCAACTCCTATTGTCAGTGACACCTCAACTTTCAGCCTTTATGAGAATCATTCAGTCAAGAAAGACCAGTGAAGGCCTCCAGGTCAAGGTCCAGGGATCTTAAGACAGATGGATCTATTAACAGCATAGCTGAGGTCTCTGCTCCAAGTAATCCCAAAGCAAACCTTTGCAGGCTGGGCAAGTCTCAAGTTTTGCTTCAGAAACATCACCTATGACGAGCAGGTGGCCCAGCAGCAGCTCAAATGAGCAGCAAAAATGTTATTCTTTGACAGCACCCTGTTCTCTACGCAAGCTAGATGAGAAGGTCCAAGTGTCAGCATCATCAGATCTCTGTTCTGATCACTGAGCAGACTGACCCAGAAGCTTAGGAGGTCATTATCTCATCTGCAAAGGTTACTGCCACAAAATGGACTCAGATTTAAAGGAACTGGATTTATGCCAAGGCTTTGCAATCACTTTCATCAGCTGTTTATGCTGAGATACCAACCTTCGCATAAAAGTATCAGGGGCAAACATGAGTTATCTTCCAGCAGCTCTACTTTAGAAGTTTGCTCCAGAAAAGTGACAGGGCAGTTAGCTGTGGAATAGCATTTAAAATAGCTTCAGCAAAATCTTCTTGATTCTTGTGCCCTGCAGAAACATCTGTTCCACCAATAAAGCAAAACAAAATGTACCTTTAAAATGCGCAGTTGTGGTGTAGTCCAGCTCAGTTCCTTTTCCTTAAGCTGCCTTACTGCAGGGGCTTTATGCTAAAGCAAGGATTTCCCCAAGCCCTTCAGGAGACAGGGCACTGTTCTCCAATTCCACGTCCCATAGTCTGTCCCAAATGATGCTTGGGTAAGACATAATGAACAAATTAATTATTTGTTAATTTTGATAGTGAACAGTGGTAAACTGTTAAGCAGTTGTCCTGGGATTACACCTCAACCAAGCAGCAGTTTATGTAACAGTGTTTAAAGATCATTACAGAAAGTATAACCACTTTGCTACTAGCATTTAATTTGCATCAATAAATGAGATGCAGGTGAAGTGGTAGACGTGAAAGTGATTATTTTGTTTGTAAATAAAATTAGGTAACACTATTTACATAAAGTCTTTAAATGCCTATACAGTTCTAACCATTTATACATAGGAAAGACACCACATCGCCCAAAATGAGAAGTTAGGTTACATATCACTCGTAAGTACACTTTGCTGCAAGTTTCTTCACGTTACTGTTCTCCAAACGTGACATTGCATGGGGACAGAAAGAGAAACTCCTCAGATGTGCAAGGGCTTAGACACCACAGCCACACGTGTCGTAGCAGAGGGAGAGCAGGCCAACTGTCATTTGAACAGCCCGTCTTCCGCAGCCGTTATTTAGGAAAATGGCTACAGGCTATCTTCAAAAAGATTCTCTGTAGCTATAATTTATAATGAGATTACAAGGAAGATATTCTCTTTGTTCCCTCCCTTACAGTCCTAATCAAAGTCCAAATTGGGAGTAAAATGTCTGTATTTTTAACAACAAATGTCTTGAGCTTTGCTGTTCCCCTAGTCTGGATCTCCATTAATAGCGTGCACACCTACTGAAACTGCAGTTACAAACCTGCATTTAAATTTTGTAGTTATATATATTACATATATATATATATATATACACTTACTATTAGAAGAAAAGCAAAGTTTGAGATCATAGCCGATGGCTTGAACCTTTAGCTTTTCCCCTCCCTGTGCTACAGCCAGGGAGCGAGGGAAGGACTCATTACACGTATTCTTGCCAGAGAAGCAGCAGAGTGTGAATAACCACGATTTCCAAACCAAATCCAGTTACTGTTGTTTTATTAGCCGAGCATACCATCACCCCAGGGAGAGCGGGTGAAGAGCAGATCAAGGCTGAAGAGGGCCTTCAGAGAGATTACTGCTGACCATCTTTTTCAACAGAGGCACCTGGCACCAAAAGAAAGAGTTGACGCCAACCCTTTTCCTGCAACACTTTCGCATTATTACCCACAGCATCTGAAAAATTTCATAATTGAAAATCCAAATTCTGACACCTCCTGGTCAAGTATTTTCCTTATTTTCCAGTGTTGAAATAGTTCAAATCTGTCACCTTGCAGCTTCAGTGTTAGATAGCAGTCAAAATTCTGATGTGGAAAACCCAGTGAAAAGCTTTGGCATTTGAGGTTGTTAGCGATTCTGAACAAATTTGACAGTACACGATGCATACTTACATTAATATATTCAGAGAGGACAGGCTTCTAAATTTTTGCAGCTATTTTAGTAATTTCAGATGAAGGAATTCCACAGTCTAAAATACCCAAATAAAAATAAAGTATATTTTCAACCCTGCACGAATATTAGCTGTTCACATTCATTTCCAAACAGTAACATTAACTATCCAGCTGGACAGTCAACCTAACAGCAGCACAGGTCTAAGAACTACTTGAGCGTATTTCATTCTGTTCACAGAATACACCCACCCCCCCCCCATATATATATAATTGCAGGTGTAAGGGTGGCAGCTATTCTGAATACCAGCAGTAGTTTTGCTGTACTATAAAAGCTTGTGTTAAAGACTGCATCCTAAAGCCAGGAAGTTAACCTTCACTGAGCTTTACCCTGCAGTGGTTAGACTAGAAAGAGTAGCCAAACTAGACCATCCAAAAGGTGTCTGAACATCCTCACCCATGGAGATGCTGTGACTAGAAGGCAGGCATGCATTAAGATGCAGAAAAGTCTCTGTACAGTGTTGTTCCTCCTCCCCCCAAAAATGAAATAAATCTCATTTTGCACATTTTTGATTACCCCCTCCCTGCTCCCTCCCTTGACCAAGCACTTTGAATCTCTGTGATGATTAAGTAACTTGAGTATAAATAAATACTCTTTTAGAAACATTGGTAGCATGGATTATTTGTGTCCTGTTCAGTCTAACAAAATACTAAAATCAGTAAAATTTCATGCACAAAAAATCAAATCTATGTCACCACCAGCACGATAGTCTTTTGAAGTATCTTAACTCCTCTTTATGCAGGTATATGAATTCCAGTGTTTATCCTATTCCTTTTTCAAAGTAAAGACACTTTTGTTCACTCCAGAAGTCCACCTTCTAAGGATGGTTTTTAGTTTCTGACATACTGAAATAGTCAGCCAGCAGGTGTATCATTTTGTTTACCATCTTCCTAAAGGAATAAAGCTTTCCAAGTTGCACTCCAACAGCTCCTTGACAGACAAGTTTATTGAAACAATTTTTAAAAGCAGATATTTCTGAATGTACTCCATCAGTCTCAACAGTTCAGGAAAACAATTGTTCAGTGTCCAAATGAAGTGTGCATGTTACAAATTGTACATTTTTAATATACTCATTTATACCACATGACATGAGCATAAAATACAATGATTTCTTACGTTCTTCCAGTATGCCAATTTATTGCTACAATTCCCCAAAAAAGTTGGGCACACCTAGAAATAGCTGTTCCCATGCTTTGGACCCAAGGATCAAGTCACTAGTGTTCCGATGTAAATCACCAGATTTTCAAATTGTTTTCTTTTTAATTTACATTTAAATTAAAAGCTTTTTTTGCAAGACTATTCTTAGATGGTATTTAGTGGGAAGTGTAATATTTATTTATTTACTACAATATAAATACTTCAAATATAGCATATAAAATTTTCTTCACATTCATTTTGCTTGATATCTTTAGTCATATCAATCAGAAGAAACAGGTTTCATGTATGAACTTACAAAAAAAAAAAACAAACACAAAAAGAAACCAAAAAAACCCATGTCACAAACATTGAATTTAACCAACTTACACAAGGAACAAGGGTCCAGAGTTCATGGGTGAACTATTACTCCTACAAAATGAAAGGTGTTTGGGGCTTAGGAATTGCTGTCATGTACACTTGCGCAATAATCACAAGTTCTCATTGTGTAACTGTATTAAAAAAAAATTAAGCTTTGATTTGGGTTTTCCTTTCTCTTTCATTTCTAAGAACAGTCTTAAGAGTTCCATATTCTGAATGCAAATAATTTCTTCGCTATTCCAATTTGAGTGCAGCACAGCTGCTTTTTAAAGGTCAGGTTTCAGCTGAAAGTGTCTCTACTCTTTAGCTCAAATGATTTTCACATACTTGAACGTTTTGCCAGCCCTTTTGACCAATAATATGATCATTTTATTGTCAAAATAAGTATTTTTTAGCAAATGAAAAGCTTATTCCAACAGTACAAGATTTCTATATCCAGTGTGAAAGCAACGTGGTGGTATAAATATATGCATACATCGTATTACACATAATATATTATACACATTCCAGTTAATCATGGAACTATTAGCAGGAGTAGATGACTACTAATCATGAGTACAAAGTATTTTTTGTAAACAAGATTTTGAGAAACTTCAAGGAAAATCTGATTTCTGGAAAGATGACAATCTTGGGATTTCATTTTTGTTTTCAAATAATTTTTTTTTTTAAGGATGCTGTATATAAGAATGCACTTTGTATTAAAACAAAGATCAATACTTTACAGTTTAAGAAACTTTACATATGTACATAAATTACACATCAGGAATGGTTTTAAAGCTCAAAATGAGTTGTCAGAAAAGTCTATTTTCCTTCTATTAAAATCTTTAACTCTTTTACATTGTGATCATTCGCAACTGCCACAGCATGATCCAGTGCTCGGATACTTGCTAGAAGCTTTATGATCTGCTTTATGTGCTCCCTAAAATGAGGAAGGAGAAGTCAATACAGGAACAGAACAACCACGTCCAAGTATTAATATTTAAACAGACGACTACATTATGTATCCCTATAGTAAATCAGTTTCACAGAACTTTTCAGATAACTTCACATCATCTTCTCCTCCACTTGTTTAGTCCGCTAAAATAAGCTGGTTACCAGTTTTGTACTGAAATTGAAAAAATTATTTTGGGAGTAGGAATTAATCATACAATATGGTTTAATACTATATAATCTCAAGAAAAAGGCTTGGATTACTTATGGTACTGTGCAATAAGTCACAGCTCTCTTGGTACCTAATGTTTAAGCCAAAAAAAAAAAAAACCCACACAAAAGGAAAAAAAATCAAGGCAGCGAGTATGCTTTAATGCATGCCTTAAAAAAGTATAAAGTTTGCCACCAATGAACTCTGTTACAATTCAGGTCAATCTAGGAAGTGTAGACTGAACAAACTGATAGGACTGTACTTCTTTGGCTGTCAAGAACAATTTTGGTATCTTGCAAGGAGGACAGACATGAAATTTAAACCAGTCTCACAAAAAATACTAGAAGATCAAAATTAATCTTAAAAATGAACTTAGCTGATCTGTTTAAAAGCATCCAACATTTGGAAGACTAACATAGGTAAAGATACACTTCCCTCTCGGCAGAAACTAATGCATTTTCGTCTCAAACAACTGTACTAAGTTTTATGTGAAAAGACATGACGTTCCTGAGTTATAAAAAGTAATATATCTGCTGCAGACTTATGTTATCTGTTTAATTGGGGCAATGGTAACAGATATGTTAAATGCCAGGAAAAAGCACGAGGACAGAAAATAGAAATTAAATTAGAACTCACTATGGAAAAAAAAGGATTAATGGGATGTTTCTCTTCCAATACAAAGTTTTACCAAGTTACCATTTCAGCTGGTAAAGAAAGTTCTTTCAAGTTTGGAAACAGGCTACCAAAAGAGAGAAAGTTTAATCTCTACTGGATTCTCTCTTAACTCCTCCATTCCAATTCCAGTATCATGCTAGGCTACCATTTTGGTTTTAGAAAGCAAGAAGTAACAAATCTGTTTTGAATTTGAATCATGGGGAAATTTAAATTGGTACGTGACACTACTATTCTACTTTGGACACAAAGTTCTGAGGCATAACCTGAGCACAGATAAAAAGTTGTTTGAGCACAACCCAGTGTGGCACAAAGCTTGGAGTTCTCTGAAAACAAGATGATTCATATGCCACAGCCAAAAGCGACTCTAAAGACAGAAAGGTGTCTGATAACCAATATTGCAACTGGAAAAAAAAAAAAAAAAAAAACAACCAACACCTCTTAACCAAGATTTTTCCGCTACCGTTCAAGGGAAATGTCTGTCTCTGTTTCAGGGCTACGCATATGATTAAAAAGGGAGAAGGATCTAATCCTCCAGAGAGCCTCAATAATTGAAGAGTAACTCAAAAATGGCTCAAGCAAGTTCAGCTATCAAGAATGACTAATGTAGGTAGCAAGGGGGTTTATCTTTCCAAGTTTCAGGTTTGCTGGAACAACAGAACTATTGACCTTGAAACCTCTCCTTCTCATGCAACAGCATAGGAATAAAGAATCTTCCAGTCTTGTTACATTCCCGTGTATCAGTGCAACAATTTGGTTTTTAAGTTTATCATTGCTTAAAATGATACACCCCTAGTATTTCAGTTTACTTGGCCAGCAGTAACATTTATGCATCTAATACAAACTTTTAATTATGCTGGTTATCGGATATAAGTAAAATGACTATTCAACGTAGCAGAAAACAGGTTCATCTAGTTGGTTGAGTAAATAAAGTCAGAACTTTTGTACTGTATACAAAAGCACAGTTTATAATTTAGAAGCCATTATACAGGAATTGGCAACAGGTTCACAAGGTGGAACAGTCTAAAACCAGTAGTTACAAAATTTGCCAGAATCAGTGACACTGAGCAGTAGTGCAAAATATATTATGAACATTTAAGGATTTCTAGCAGCTGCTGTTTTCAGACACCTTAAAAATCTCCCCATCTACCATACCATAACATTTTTTAAGTTTGAATTCAAAGATGTTTCAATGGACATGCAGCAGTATGGAGATATTTACCCATGTTTGCATGCATCAGCAAAATAACACAAAGCACAAGAATTGCAACTGCATTAACTCAAAGTAAGTTACCTTGCATTTCTTTTCTCTACATCAGAGCAACCAATGCTGTTTCTATAAATTGTATCAGCCAGATGAACAAGGTATCTACAGAAGTTTTCTAGCTGAGAAATAGTCTTGTCTCCTTTTAGATTAGCAAACCACTGTTTAGGAAAGCAAGCAATTACCTAGATGTAAGAGGAAAAAGAAAAGTTAAACAAAATTTTAAAAGGTATCTAGCATGATTTGTGAAGTTTGCCAGGTAAGATTGCAGTGACAAGGCCCAACCTAGTAAAACAGTGACCACAAACAAAAAAAAAAAAACAAAACACAAAACAAAACACAAAAACAAACAAAAAAAAACCCAGAAAAATCCAAAATTAAAGCAGTAAAACACTGAAACACACACTATACCCAAACTATCTACATGTAAGAGCCAGAGCAGGTTCCTTCTTTAGTTTGTGTATTTTGAAAAATAAATAAATAAATAAATAAATAATCTATTTCTCATTGACACTGCACTTTTGAGAAATCAAAGCCAAAATTTTATAACCTTCAGTTTCAACTACATTTTTCCTTCAGTTGAAATCTGTGAATTACAAGTCATTTTAAGCATTGTTTGATTTTACTTACACTTTGAGCTTTCTTAATGCTGTCCTCTCCATACTCAGAGTTTTGAAAAGCCATAAGAATATATCTATTTAGCAGACCATCTATTGACAGCTCCTGGAGAGTTTTGTTTGAAAGGATTCCATACCACTGGAGAAAGTTTCCTAATAACTGAAAATACAAAATAGGGAAAATAAGTATTTAAAAATGTACTGAAACCACATAGTTAATCAAACAGTCTATAGCCTCTTCAAATGCAACAGCACGGCCAAGGTAAGCAGTGGAAATATTCCTTCTGTTAGCTTCAATACTATTCAGAAAGCATAAAGTACCAGCCTAGACAGCATTACGAATTCTTATACAACCACCACCACCTCAACTTTGCTCATGTTTTGCACAAGAAATCAGAAAAAAAAAGAATTAACAGTTTTAAGCCATCTTGTTCTCAAAATCTGACGTCAATATCAAGCCAAGTGAGGCCTAGCATGCACCAAATAGGGCAAATTCACAGCCGCCTTGTTAATGAAAAGCCCAGCTACGCTGTCAGCCTACCCTCATTTCCAAGGCACAGTGACACAAGAGACACAGAAAGCATCACAGGTGAAAGCTGTCTAAGCCAACTCTAAAGCTGGGATTCCCCACTGGTGATGAATTGTTGCCAGCCTCGTACAAATGAACACAGCCAGCAGTCGAGTCAGATCATCAGGAAACAGTAAACGAGTGTTTGCTTCCCAGCTTCTATTTCTGTTCGTCTGTGATGCTATAACTGACTTGCTAGCACAAGAGAGCTGCATTTTTAATGCTTCTCTGACGTGGCATTCTAACGGCATTATAAACTGCTAGAAGCAGGCAATTTCACTCTTAAAACAGACACAAGCCCTAAATAAGCTATCTGTTTCACTTTTAACAATAGCATTTTAATAAATGAGCTTTGTGCATTTTTTGCTCTAGACAGCATTTAAGAAGTTGACTTTCAAAGTGAAATAATTCAGTGCCAAATATTTTCAGCAAATGAAGTGATTGCAAACCTATTCACAATACAGTCTCCATCACTGCTGCAATTTAAAAAATTCCAGATAAAAGTTTTGTTTGCATGATCATGGAGATCAGCAGTTTAGTCAACATAGGACTCATATGTTGCTGTTTAGTTGAGAGTCAATTTTCCTCACAGTCTTTTACTGGAAATAAACTACAACAGTCATATCTTCTACAGACCTTTGCAAACTATACTGCACATTCCACACACAGAGACTTCTTCTTTCACACTCTTTAGCATTTCAACTAAACTCAGATTACAAATGCTCTTACACTTTACAAATAGCAGTGAGTTTTCCAAAAGGGGTCAAGTTATTTTCATGAAGATTCTCACACACTATATATATATTAAAAAATAATAACCAAGCTCTCTCATTCCCACATAAGTGAAATAAAAGCAGCATATTTTATTCTGGTAAGTACAATGACATTAAAAAAAACTGGGCTGAGTATGCTAAATAAACCCACAATGTACAAGTTAAAATGATGGCGCTTTCATGTGGCAATCTTTTTAAGAGGGCACAGTGCATTATCAAAGACTAAGAATCCTAATTTAGAGTTATTTCAAATAAAGCAATTTCCATCTACCATTTCCCACAAATTTGAAGAGGATTTTATACCTACACCATCTAGACCAAAGATTTACCAGATGTATTTACTGACTTACCTTAACAGAGGACCAAAACTGACGTTGGAAGAACAAATATGGACCAGAGTTCTTGTTTTCTAAGATGCTGGAAAGTAAAAGATTTCTTTAATGAGCAACCAAGACCATTTCTGTCTGGAGTTTGCTGGCTTCGTCCTTCCCACACACAGTTCATTTCTATAACTATTCCCTTCCATCCTGCTTGTCTTTGCTAAAGTCCTCACAGCATGGTAACGAAAGATCTCCTGTATCCAGCCAGTGAACCACACCGGGAAAAAAACCCTGTTAACTATGGACAGAAGACACAAACTTGCTAGTAAAGGTCTAACACCGTAGTTGAAAGCAAACTTACTTTTTTGGATATAAGGGCATGAATACATCATCATCTAGTGTTCTCCTCATTCTTAGCAACAATGCCTTTAAAAGCATCTGAAACAGATACATTATTTTTTTTTTAAGTGTCCAAAGCACTGCTCAGTAGTCAACCACTCAGAAACTGATTTTCAAAGCAACAAAGAACATTGGTGACCCTAACAGTAAAAGGCATACATACTTAAGTACACACATAAATAAAGTCTTAGAGAAGTCTATAATAATTAACAGAACTGAAATTTGATGCTTTCAGTAAAAACTGAAGGCAATGGTTAAGGTTGGCTACACAACTAGCCTCTGCGAAGTCAAGGCTTTTGTAATTTTTAATGTTCTGCTAGCTTCCCCATACACGTGCACTTTGGCCTATCTCCCGTTATTCTAAAGGCAACACATACACTGCATTAGCTACGGCACCTGAACTCATGAAATCGGTTCTTGTATTCATAGAAGATCAGTAAAACAATCAAATTTTAAGGTAACACATTTGAAAAGGTTACAAAGATCTAAAAAAGAAAAGCCTGACTATTTGTAGCTGACCGTTAAAGCAAAACTGCAAACCAACAAGTCCTAGTACATTTAGTATCTCTTTTTATCTCTAGTATCTATTTTGGGGAGACTTCACTGAGTTCCTCCTCCTAATTCATCACCATACTTAACTCTCCATAACCAGGCTGCAGAGCATCAAATAACTGGAAAATTCTCTTTCTTGCTCCTCACTAAGCATACTGCACTCTCCAATACAGTGTATTAAAAATATATTCAACTTCCTTAACTTATGCAAGATATTTAAGAAAAAACAACTTACTTGTGTATTTTTGTTTTCTGCATTCACCACCGAAGGATATCCATCTACTAGTTTCTGTACAATTGCTACCATTCTAGAAGTTTGTGTTGTAGAAAAGGGATCCCATATATTTTCAGAAATCACTGGAAAAGATTAAAGAATTACTCCACTTTCCAAATACTCAAATACAGGTACTAAGACAGGCAATAATTTACAAAACAGTAAAATATGAAAGTAAAAACAAGCATCAGCTTCCACACACACCTGTTTTCCCCCATTTTCTTTCTGAGACTATACCTGTTAATTTAGGAAGAACAACTCTCTCCACAATTGTAGGCAATAATGAAATATCAGCATCATCTTTCACTTGCTCCTGTTCTTCACAGCCATAAAATAGCAATGATTCAAACCACAACATAGTTTCAAAATCTCGACACTTGCCCTAATAAAAAAAAGAATTGAGGTTAGATTCCTAAACAGATATTTGAAGTCAACACATTTTAAAAAAAGATAAAAAGTATTACATATGCAAGTATGATATACTCACAAAACAGAACAAAACTATTTTAAAACATTCTACCAAGTGTCCTAAGCAGGCAGGTTAAGCAGCAACTGAGCACAGTAACAACTCAAAAATCTAGTCCTTTTTGTCTACATGACAGGTACTACTCTGCACTGGAAATAATAATTAAAAAAAAAAAAATATAGTGCCTGAAGACCAAACAGTCTCTTAATCTGGCACAAGGATAGGCAAATTACTTCACCTGCTTTGGTTCCTCTACTTGTGAAGCAGCAATACTACTTCCTTCAGAAACATAGGCAAGCCTTATTCCTGAGAAGTGAAGAAAATATTCAGCCTCTCTGCCTGGACACGACTAATCATGCCATCACAGGTCAGGTTAGTGTATACGGACAGCCCAATCAAAACCTGAGAGAGGATGGGGAGCAATTTTCCATAAATCAGCCAAATGAACCAATTCACTCTACAAACACACAATCACTAGATCTAGTGACAGTGAAAATGGTGGAAGACTGCTTTTTTGGGCAGCTGTTGCCCTGCAGATTTTAACTTCTAATTACACTTGAGCCAAATAAAAGCCCACAGATTAGGGTAAAATTGAGAAGTATAGTTCATTTGTGCTGCGTTATAAAATTATGCTTTCTGGATTAAAAACCTCTTTTTATGAATGCCTTGTCATTTTTCTAACTTAACAAAATGCTTAACAGGACCAGTAACACAGAGTAGTGAAAACGATTAGATTAGAGAATTCTGTACCATGTCTCCAACTAACTTGAGCTTTGCTTTGCCAGTACTCACACAGACATAGCATGGGGGAAGCGAGAATGTACAAAAACAGTTTTAAACTTAATGAGGACACCTTTCATAGATTTTCCCTCGTTTCTTCAATTAAATATTCTGAAGGCTCTCTGAAGAAGACTTGTGCCTCCCTTCCTCTGCAATCAGAGCAGAGGCGACTGAAGATCCCCTTCTACAAATATTCTCTTAGTAGTTAAGAAAAAAAAAGCTTCTGAAAAAAGCAGAGATTCAGTCATTTGTGAGACAGGTTAATACATCTGCAGACAGTGCTGTAGATGAGTACAAGTTTTGAAAGGGAAGAAGACAATCTGCCTTATTAGCCTAGTTTCCCAAAAAAACCAAAAACATCAAGCTTACACAATTGCACTGACTCTGTGCTTTGACCTACTCTCATTCCCCAGCAAAAGCCAATGTGGCAGAAAAAAGTAAGTTCCTACCAGTACTACAAAAATAAGCACCTGACTGAAGCAGAAATACATTACAAGAGCTTTCACTGGTAGGAAGAACAGAGTGGGAGTCAAAAGCTACCCAAACTGTTTGTCCTAATGGCTACTCATGTCACCACACATATGCAGGTTGGACAATGAACATTTGTCAGGGATATTGGGCTGCAACAATGCTGTCCTGCTTTTCCCATGTCCCCTGCCTAACAATTGGGCAATGAGTTCTGTGAGGAAGATTTGGAAACTGCCAGCCAGAGTTCTACAGGGTATGAAGGAGCAGGTGAGAGAAAGGAAGATGTATAATGTAGTGACATAGGTTGTAAGTCAACATAAAAACAGGCTTCTTAGTTCCACTTCCGAAGAAACAACATCTCTAGGATCATAATTTTCTCTGAAGTATTTTAAAACCTAAGTGTATTATTTAAGAAGCAGGTTTGGCTTTTTTGGTCTACAGCACTCACTGAGAAGGTATTGGCATGTGCTGAATTGAACTCTGGCCTGCTGGGAATACAGAGGACAACAGTCCAGAAACTCTCCAGAAAAGCTTCACCCCAAAAGAGGTGCCCATTTTAAACTTCATGCCTAGAACATACATTTAGGGGAAGCACACATCAAAGGTGCAATTTACTTTGCTCTGCAGAAGTGTGAAAGAACCACTATACAGAAGCTTACGTAGAAGTTGCTTGCAGAGGACCTTACCTCCAAAGGAGTCCAGATAAGCAGCTGAAGTCTGATTAAAGGGTTAAACAGCTTTGGTAAACAGAGGCCAATATAAGCATCCTTGTAAGAGGCAAAGTACTTTGAGCGCCAAGCTTCGAACTGTGACTTAATACAATCAATTGAGCAAAAGCTTTCCAAAACGTCTTCAAAAACTTTGCTGGATTCTTTCAATATACGATCTGGTGGGGGAGAAAAAAAAAAAAAGAGTAATAAGTTAATCGTCTATTCCCTGTAATACCTCTTTCAAGGCAGACTTTGATGCTCGCTGGCATAAGCTAACTCCTATAAACAAAACCATCACCTTTAAAAGTTCTGTTACTTCTGCCTTAAATATACAAAGCACTAAAAACACGAGCACATAAGTACTCTACAATATACTGTTTTATCACAGGTCTTTCTTTAAACATTTCATACAGTGATGTTCAGTTACCAGAGACCAGACTGGTGACGTATTGGGCTGTATTCAGTGTTGATTTAACTTCAGAGCTGGCCTTGCTCTGCATGGGAGTTTGGAATAGCTGATCTCCAGGATCCTTCCAACACAAATTATTCTACAACTTTGCTCATTTAAGTGCAAGTACAGGAGAGCATCTCAGATGAGCCAACTGAATTGGCAGCACTTCGGAGAAAGTGGGTCCTGGCAGATGCCATGCTAAACTGCTGAATATAACATGGCTGTTAGCATTGGGCAACCATTACAACCCCTTAGCACCTTCCTTACTTTTTTTTTTTTTGTATTTACAGTGCCAGTATTCTATGCAGTCCAGAACTACTTCTCCCTATATTATTCTCCCTTCATCTCTTCTATTTCCCAGGGTTAGCTTCATTTTAGTCAGTCACTTTTGCTGCAGCCACAGTTTTAAATGTTCAGTTACAAGGAGTAACCTATATGCAACTAACATAACTAGTACACACAGCAGGTAGAGACAGGGCTAAGGGAACATGAGACTATGTTATATAAACACACTTTTCACACTGGGATCAAAAGAGATGCTACAAATAAAGTTGGCAGGTGCAAAGTGCATCCCTCTGTTCCATATAGCTCACCGCTGATTCTGGACTAACATGAGAGCTATGAATGATAAAAAAGAAGCTTTAGAAATACTATGTTTTCTCAGAAACTGATAAAACTCCTACAAAAGGCTTGTGTAAACATAAAAGTGCCAAGTTACAAAGAGCAATTCAGTCACACTGAATTTTTAATCTAGATCATTTAACTTAGCAAAGTTATTATAGCACCTAACAACCCTAACAGTTGCTCTGTTTATCAAAGATTTGATAAACAAAAATATTTCATAAAAAAAAGATTTGATGTTTATCAAATTTTGGTAAATGAGCCAGCAACTAAAGATGTGGAAACTGTTTGCACTTCTGAAGGATCCAATTGCTAGACAATTCATCTAATTGCTTTTTTAATCTGTTTCATATTTTGGGTCTCCACAACCACCTACAGGAATGACTTTGGCACTTTTATTATACTCTTTGTGGGAAGTGACTTGTTTACTTTAAACCTATCCTATCACTTCATTTCATGCCCCTAGCTCTCATACTGTGAAAAGTCAACATCGTTCTCCTAGCTGAAGAGTCCAAAATTGTTCCTCACATACGACATAAATAATTCTATATATGTGATCCTTGCTGCTCTGCTTCTACACATTTCTTCTAATCTGATTAAATTCTCTTTAATCAGAGAGAATGATACTTGTACTCAGATTCAAAATCTGAAGGTAACAGGATTACTACAGTGATCATCTTTCTTCGCTACTGGTTTCACAGTAGCCACTGGCATTGTTTTAACTGCTGCTGTAAAAGATGACTGTTCCATCAAACTATCCATATTTCCCCAAATCTCAGGCTTCTTGCAGTTCTCCCAGTGCTTTAGAGGCATTAGCCTAACTTACAACCTCATTTATTGCATAATGAGTTTTGCATAATTGCATAATAATGGTTATTTTGAGCAAGTCATCATAAAATTGCAAATGAATTTCAAATCAAGTCAGTACCACGAGATCTTTCTGCAATGTTTGCATTTAATATTGTTTTTTGTCACCTGCAAAATTTGCCAGGCTGTAACAAGAGTCTACAAAACTTCTGTCACTGCATTTCTAGATGTTTACACAGAACTCCAGAAAATACTTCCTATCAAGGAAAAAAAGTTTCTAAAGCACTGAGGTTTTCAGAATTTCACATGTAAAACAAACAGATATTTGAAGAATGATAAACCACATTACAAATTAGAAGGAAGACTTAGTATCCACTGAAGGTACAAAAGCTTACTGCTTGCCAGCAAAAGAATGTTTGAATGAAATGAAATGAATCTCTGTAAGACCTGGGTATTTCATTATAGCTACAAGCTGCACATCAGGTTGGCCAAAGAGATTGTTTTGGTCACACTGATGATCCAGCAAGGAACAGCTCCTAAGCTTTCTCCAAAATATGGTGAAATATACAGATGGGGCTGCATTTGGATCAATTTTTTTTTTTCCCTGCTAAAGTTTCTGTATTTTGTTACATAAAGCTTTAGTAACTTTTCTAACCTCGCTCCATGTTGAAGTTTGTAATATCCGTTGAAGTTTCCTCATCATCACTGGAAAGGCCTTCAAGGTGATCTGCCATCTTCCCAGTTTGCTCTCTTGCTTGTCTACGACGAGCTCTGAAAAGGATCAGCAGCACAAATCAGCTATTACTTTTTTTCCTCCTGTATACAATGAACAGACCCGCCTAAGTTTGTCATAACTTTCAATGCAAGGAAATCAGGTTGAAAATAAACTTTCACTATGTCACCACCTCAAATATTCCACTACGTCACTGCCTCAAACAATGGAAGGAAGATAAACCAGCAGAGACAATATAGATATGGAACAGGTTTCCTATGCTTTCTTTTAGTGACTTTAAATCAGTATCATGTAAGGATGTGTTTTGTACACTTGCATGGTAAATTTGGATATATAAGAATACCTCTGCCCAGCATACCATCTTAAGTGTTTTCTTCCCTTCGCAGGAAAGGAGCAAACATCACTGCTTACATTAGTACATCATGCAGGACAAGTATATTCTGCAAGCAGGCAAAGACTCCTAATGGACAAGAAATCTCAGTACTCTACCTTCTAGCCTCTCTTTCTGCAGTCCGACGCTTTACTTGTTCTTGATAGATCACTCTGTCTCGTCCAAAAGATTCAAGATTTGGTGCCATCAGTGCTTTGTCTGTAAAATTACATTGATGAAAATTAAAATGCTTATCTACAATTACATAAATGTGTTGTAGGCAGTTTCGTAAGCGTCTTTTACCTACTTTAAAATAAGTGTAATTTGAAGTAGAAAGTTGAAGTTTTCAAAAAGATGCACTCAGAAGCCTGAATTCGCAAGTGTAGAGGTTAAAAGAGGAAGAAGTAGTGGAGTTCAGAAAAATCTCCACTTAAATGTCAAATAGCTTTCACCATACTTTCTTTACCCTTGTCCTCTCACAACAATGCCCAACTATATAAAAGTAAACAGTTTTAATAGAAATTGCTTAAATTGAATGTTGCAAAACAAAAAGTGCTTCTTACATAAACACGTTCACCATATATGTTTTGAAAAGAAAATTAACAAAAAGAAAGGCCGAGAAGAGCAACAGAAGCAGGAATATATGTTATTTCAGAGTTCTAGTCATAGTGTTTTCTAAGTTTATATGCTTTAGATTGCCTAAAGTTTAAAACACATCAAAATCTACAGGAAAATAAATCATCCTCTTTTTAAGCTGTGATTCATTATAGATGTTCCTGATCATAGAAAACAACACAGCTAACGAGTGAAGCTGATCACCAATCAGCAGGCAGACCCAAGAGTGGTTCCAGTTCATCCTTTTCAGGTAAATTTTAAAAAGTGGACTGAATGTTAGCCAGTGCTCAAGTCCACCCACCAAAATAAAAGCATCAAAATTGAAACAAAAGCCTACCCAAATTTCAGGAGTAAATTTATATGTTCTAACTAAATCCATTTACAAATACATCATTAGAAATATTAATGGTGATCTATGTTAGTATTCCAATTCTATACCAGAACTACTAAAAGCCTTAACACACAGATGAAGCCATCATTTGTCCAATTTTTTTAAATGTTATTCGAAGCCGAGCTACTTGTCTTTACACAGAAGTAAAGAAAAAGTTGGCAGACAAACTTAAATTCATTTCTAGCCCTTTAGTATTCTGACACTGTATGAAGAAAAGCAAATCATTTATGTCCACAACACACACCAAATCAAAGGCTGGCATCAATTCCCAGTTTGTGTGATAATTTGAGGGGCAGAACTGAACTATGTCTAGACACAGTGAAATTCATTCTCAAGTCTCCCAGACACTAAGTAAGCTCTCCCTTTAAAAACCCAGCCTTGACAATGACAACTATTTCCACCCCACCATTAAATTCCAGCCTAAAACAATCCATTCTAAGCTTCTTTTAGGAAATATGTTTCTAGTTCTCACAACAGCATTTTCGTGGTAAAACTGCAAGGCCTACACGTGATGCCTGGGGCTCCAAATAAAGTCCTAAAGGGAATATGTATGCTAAGCACTCCGTAAAGGGATGACCAACTCTGATGCCTAATGCTTTATCACCCTCAGTAAGTTCTATCTAATGGTATTAACAAAATTTCATCTCTGGACACACTGTGACAGAATAGGAAATGGGTTTTATTATAGGATTTTACGGCAGCAATAGGACAGACAAGAAAGTAATTTTTAAAAATGGGAAGCTCTCCAAAGCAGAAAGATGACTACTATTAATATGATATTTTACCTGTTGTTTAACGTGCTGAATAAAACCTCCTCCAAGGAACGTATATTTCCATCCAAGTTAACATTTATTTGTAGAGTTTTACATACTGAAGGGTAATCACCACAAGAAAACTCCTCAATGACAATCCCCCATCCACACACTCACAGTAAGTAGGTATTTTAACTGGCTAATTTTAAGCTGTATTTCATACAGGGTCACTTTGTATTAGCCTGATTTTCAACAATGGCACCAATCTCTTCTAGTTCTTTAGCTTTACCAGTTAAGTGTCTGAAATGAAATACTTATGCTGCCTACAAAATAGAGCATTACACAGAAGTCAGCTCTAGCCCAGTGCTTCATGGCTTTGTACAGAGTTAACTGTAGATGCTACAGGAGATGTATAGATCCAAGGAGATTTAAAAAAAAAAAAAAAGTCCTGACATCAGAGGAAAATCAGGTGTCACATGCTACCACTACTACCACTGCCACCATGCATACATTTTCAGTGCTGGGAAAGAGAAAATATAGTTAAGAGCAACAGAAAGGAGAGATGAAGTCAAGAGTTAGAGTGGCTTCGAGTTTAGAACAACACAGACTAGAAAACTTTCATCTAAACTTGCTTCTACATATCTCAGGATTAAGAATAAAGTTTAAGACCGTCATACTTTAAACATTTACATTCAAATTAAGCCATACTAAGTAAACAAGGTTGTTTAATGAATAATAAAAACCTTCAAGATGGACTGACTTGAATGGCTTGAAAACTCCGAAGATTCATCTTTAATATCATCTTGTCGTCTTTGGACAAGGCGGGAAGCTCGCTGTTTGTACAGCTGGTGCATTGCGGATTCAAGTTCGTTAATCAGAGGCACCTGTAAAAATACAACACACTACGTAATACCAAATTCTTCAAGTGCTTAGTTTCTGGGGTACCATACTATTCCGAAGCATAATGCTGCCACTGTACTTCTAGCAGCACATACTGTTTCCTTTTACCCATTTGTATCATTTGGACCAGTAAATATTTCAACGTGAAGAAAATGCATGCATTTAACAACGCTGACAGCTTTCAACCATAGCAAAAGCATTCTGAAAGTAATTTCCATTGACTGAATGAGTCTACATAGTAAGACAACCATTTCATACTGTGTGAAATGTCATTTCAAGTACTCGTTTTCTCTACCAAGTGCATTACGTATTGTGTTACAGTGCTTACAATTCTCAGACCTCATTATTTCCTCTCTATCTTTAAACAAGAATGTAGTGGTATTCTACACTTTAACGAGAAAATAACCTGATTGTATACAGTGAAAAAACAAAGCATGAATCCAACGTTCTGAAACCAGCAGGTATTGTTTTGCTGTAACTCTTATTAGCACATGCTGAAATATTATTACTGAAATGCAATAAAACATTGCATAAGCATTTTATGCCAACAGGTAATTCAGATCAGTAAAACATTTCTCTAGCCTATCATTAAAAGTAAAATTGTACAACTTGTGTGAGTTATGCATTAAGTATAACCTTTGAATGATACGGACTGAAGTCAGATCAGACCTGCCACTTTTTCCTTCTTTTTTTTTTTTTTTTTTTTCTTTCTTCAATTTTTTTTTCTTTTTTTAAGTGGACTAAATTTCAGTAGCAACTATAACAAAAATAGATGATGTTTTAACAACTAGGAATTTCCTGACATTAAAAAGCAGATTCACTGCTCACTTTTGCAAAAATTCATTTCCCAGGACAAGTGAAAACTAGATTATTATAAATATTCAAATGCAAAACAGAACTTTTCACGATCTCTTAATTTGGAAAGGCAAGTCCTTTTGGTATGAACACTGAAGCCATATCCTCCTTACCTCTGAGACATATGCTTAGTCCACAGTCTTCCAGTCTTTTAGCTCAAATATTTCATTGCTGCCTACCATCCACGATTAAGTATTTTTCAAAACAAAAGATAAAATCAGAAATTGTTTCCTGATGTAATTTAGAATGTGACTCAGCAGCTATTAAAGAACCTCCTCTAGTAAAATACAAGATTATGAGATTATAGCTACAGGGCCATTTCAGCTATCTGAGAATGACACGCATATCAGAGGAGATATTAAAAGGAAAGAAGTATTAGCATTTTGTGGTATAAACTGGGCTACAGGGATTAAAATGAAAGCAATTCTGCACTAACTCAAAATATGTGCAACTTTCTTTTGGAGAAAACAGAGTAGACAGAAATAGGAGGAGGGAATATCCCAGTGCTGGAAGTGTATATTTGGAATTTAAGACAATTCTGAAAACAGAAATAATAATTTTAAAAAATACTAGTTTTACTGCAGTTTACCATAGAAAATACAGCTTCTTCTCTTAAGTGTGTAAAAGGAATTCTAAAATTGAAAAGTTAAATGAAAATTTTTCAAAGTGTCCCTAGAAGTTCTTTCTGTACTTGCCTCAGGATTAAAAAAACCTCAGCTATGTATTCAGATATATGAATCCACTCAAAATATTGCCCATTTAAAACAGAAGAGACTTAGAAGACGCTATTTTTCTATAATCAATACTGCAGTTGATGAGTGACTGACCATTTCACTGACTACTATAAAGTCACAGCCCTCACTGTGTTTTGTTTAGTCAATATCTTAAATTCAGTGGTTTGAGGTTTCTTCTTCACTTTCACTGCAAACAGCGTAAGAGGAAAAGTGGAAAGCTCTCTGAACATTTCGACAAGGACAATTTTAAGCTACAGTCCCCCTCTCTGATACACAGTGTCTTTTGATAAATGTAAAGACGCTGTTACCACTTTCTAGCCTTCTCAGAAAGCGTAATTTTGACAGTGTTTACTTGTGAAGGAAGTCACACAAGCATCTTCTGCTCTACTGGTTTTATCATTTATGGGAGGAAAATAAAAAAAAACACCCACATAGAGAATTTGACATTTCTATTGCTTGTTCTTAAAATGTGCTTAACAGCTGCCTCATTATACTCTCCACTGCACCTTACCAATGAGCAAAGTGTTTTTAACATTCAGAGTCTCTTCAAAACAGAATACAAACAAAACGGTTTTGCTTGGTTGTGAGCCATGAAGGGTTGACCATGGTGAACAGGTACAGAAATAAGATGGTAGGAGGAAGAAAGTCTAATTTGTGATGATGGTCTTTTGTTCTCCAAAACTGAATCAAGAGATATACAAAAAGACTATAGGGGAATGGACTCTTTTGGAGTGGACAAGTACACTGTGAACCCACTAGTGCTTCTTCAGCAAGCCACTTTCTCATTTAGACCAGTACCAATGTGAATTTGGCTAATAACCATGCCTAGTCCTAAAAAAATGAAGAGAAATCTTCAAAGTATCATATCTGAAAGGATAGGGAGGGACCTAGCTTGATATATATTCAGGATATGTGTTCATATATGTATGTGTGTATATATATATATACACACATATATACACACAGTATTGTTATTACACATATGGAGACACATTTTATAAGCTTGTGTATATTATAATCATAATTACTATGTACATTACAAACGCACACACTTTAAATATGAGGTAGTCAGGGCCACAGGCTTTACAAAAGAGCTGAAGGTAATTTACCTCTATGTTCAAAAGATAAGAAGAATTTACTGTCCTGCTGCATTTCATTATTTCATTTAAATAAAAACTGATACTGATTTTATTACTTTATTTTGTCCCCTCCCCCCCACCTCCTTTTTAGAAAACGCTGCGGTGTCCTGGTCATGCCGAAAGCCCTGAATTCCAAAACAGACTATCTGGCCAAAGAACTGAGGAATATATAGGACAACATAATAAATTAAATGCTCCTGTAAAACTGACCATGTTGCCTCCTAATTTTGCAACTCATTGTACATACAGGTACTGCAGCAGCCTCCAACTGAAAACAGCAAAACAGTGTGAACGCCCCTAAGAAGCATGTGATGCTAAAAATTCCATCTTACAAGTTCAATGGACTGGCATGGCAGGTGTGGTATTGGGAGGGTGCGAAGGGGGAGCAAGGTGTTCAGGTGTAGAACCCGTAAAAGACCAACTACCAGAAAAGCAAAGGTATATGGTAAGAAAGCAACTTTAACAAGCCAGTTTGTTACATTATCAGCAGCTGATTTGCTGTACAACTGCAGGAATTGATTTATTTACTAGTATAGCTAGATAGGTCAATACCTTCCTACAAACTGAACTGAAATTGTTACAGTTACTTAACAGTAAGTTTTCCTGGTTTAGAGAAAATCCGGGAGACTAAAAGGCTTGGTTTATAGTCAGAATGGTGCATTCTAAAACAATTTGTTTAAAGAAAGTATCAGAACAAGACAGCACGGGGTACCAAAGAGAAGCTCCAGACATGGATTATAGTTATCACAAAGAAATTTAACGTGAGGTCTTTAGAAACAAATGCTGAATAGAGATACAGCTGTTTAACTTGTCTTCTGAAATACAAATTTATCTTACAGAAAGAATATAAAAAGTTATCTTTAAGTAGGAATTTAGGCATCCAGACAACCAGCACTGACAGAGCTGCAAAGGAAAGTACCTTTACTACTGCTCAACAGCTAATGCCAATACAGACTCAGGAATACTGCTTTTTCAGTGAACAATATCTATTGTAACTAACCAATTAGCTGGGTGAATTAACTGCTCCATGCTTCCTGGGTTTGTTCATGACATAGCTATTCTTTAACTTACTAGACTGAAGATGGGACTCTCCCAATACCACTAATGCTCAACATTAATGTCTAACCAATTAGCAACCAGAATGCTTTTACATTCCTCTCCCACACCTAACAAGCTAGGTAAGTAGTAACTTCAATTACTCATGTAATTCTGACAGCTAATGTATTAAGAAGATACTATACTATTGTATTCAACGCAGAAGACAATGAAAAAATAGCCTATGTACTGCTAACTGACTTTTACAGCTCCTCTGTGTAATATATATATATTAAAAGAAAAAAAAATATATATATATATTCAGGAGCTCCTGTTACATTTACAACGAAGTGAGTAAAGTATAATGAACAACTTAAGAAAGACAGACTAAATTTTCAAGTTAGACATATACAAAAATATCACACTACATGAAAGAAGTGTATTTTTAAGTCTGGGTGTCTTCAGACAGCTACACTAGTTTTAAAACTTTTCTCCTTCAGACACTAGAGCAGTATGAACTATGTGAAACTGCCTGGTAGGAGGAAGTTTATAACA